ATTAATTATCTGTGTTAATGACAATTGGTCATATTGAATTAAATGGCATGCGTTTTATATCATAATTTGGTCACTTATCATATTTTATATAATGCTTACTATATAATAATATGAAATGATATGAAGAATTTAAATAAAATCACTACAGGAAATTCATTGATTACCGGCGGTCTTGACCGGCGGTTGTCTAGCCGCTGGTAGTAACGGCGGCTTAACCGGCGGTCTGACCGGTGGTGTCCAGTGGTAGTCTGGCGACACGCCGGCGATCACACCGCCGGCAATTCCATCGGTTGTAACCGCTGGTAAGCCGCCGGTAACAGTACCGGCGGTCTACACTATACTTACGACGGTGTTTTTACCGGCGGTTTAACAACCAGTACGCTGACAGTAAAAACACCGACGATGACCGGCGCTCAAACCGCCGGAAGATAACCGGCGGTTTGTACCGCCGGAAAACCGTCTGTTAAGAAAACCGCCGGAAAAACACCGTCGCGGTAATGGTTTCCGACGCAGTTTTTTCCGGCGGTTTGTAAACCGCCGAAAAGTCGCTGGTGATTTACAAAGCTGCCGGAAAACTAGTGTTAAAACCGCCGGTAATGAGTGAATTTCCTGTGGTGAACGATTTATGTAAGAACAAAAATATTTGTATGTACATGATTGAATGATGAAGTACAGTCCCTTTGAATGATGAAGTACATTTCCTTTAAAACATAAATGAGTGTAAGAGGAGAGGACGTGCACCGTAAGTGAGATGCTGCGAGAGAAAGATATTTATTTGAACAATTATATTATTTTTCTCTTTAAAATATATTTGGAGTTTTAATGACACTTTTAGTATATTGGAAATGGTTAATGATTTTAGCTAAAAAAAATTTTAAATACCCGTCTGATCTTATGTTCTCGTTTCGTTAATTCGAGCCTCCGGGCCAGCTCGTGACATAAGTTGTATGCAATCCAAGACGTGCTCTCCGAATTGTTACTTTTGGCAAGTATGTTGAGTGAGTACTCTAAGTGAGTGGGTGTATATGCGACTTCATAAGACTTTTGGTAGAGCTTAGTTGATTAGTGCTAAGGGCTGAAATGGGGGCAAGCTCTTAGGTGATTTGCTTCAGATATATTTCTAGGCGACTTGAGGCATTGAGTAACTTACTAGTTGGCAAGTAATTTAACCAGGTTCACAGCCACCGGCTTCTTCGACCCGGTTCAATTCCCCATTTTTTTACTTAATTAATCTGACCTAGTTGAATATCGGTGTATATAATATTTCACTTATTTTCCTTACCCAAAGAAATTGTGCTGTTGAAATAAGCATACAGCCAAAGTAGACGAAGCCATGTAGTAAGGGATTAAGAAGTCTTACAGCAGTTCTCCATCAGCTAGCAAGTCAGCAATTCCCACATTGTCGCCAAACCTTATATGCAGAACTTCTCCAAGCCATATTCTTGTCTGAGTCTACAGCATGTGCAAATACTTCAATAACTTAGACATATAATAAGAACAAAATTGTTAATGGCATGTACGATTAAAGGGAATAAATGTTTTGAATGAATTTATCCTTAAAGTTTCAAATTATTATGCTCATGACTAAGCCTGACTTGGAAATTTTAGGAGTGCCATATAAACACATAAATTTTAATCACGTGGAACTATTCTATGGAAAAACGTAAACCAGCTAATGTCCCTGCATTTTGTTCTTGATAAATAGCTTAGAACCTTGGGAACATAGACCTTCATCTTTTCCATATTGAATTCTAATTTGAAGGATACACTGTATCTTACTTTTTCACTCAATCACTTTTTTTTTCTCTCCTTAAGCCACTATGCAGGATGCAACTCATGACTTAGGAAACAGAATATAACTGAACCACAAGTTTGGTAATTCAGCCATCACAACACATGTCTGCTTGATTGCCTTAAGTAATAATCATCCTCATGAAAAGTTAACAACTAAATGTTGACCATAGATCTCTAACCACCAGCTCCCATTACCCCACTCAAACACCATCCCACTTCTCTCCACATAACTCCTTTGCAAGTATAGAAGAATGAAATGGAAGGGTATGCCAATTCACATTCTTTGGCAATCGAGTGAACCCCAAACCGGCCTCCTCTCCGACTGATGCGATCTACCCGAAGACGACCGTATCTCTTACTTCCGCACCGAGCCAAAAGGGTAAATGCCCTCCCTAACATCCCTTCACGGAGAGGGGACGCCGGGAGGCTGCCAAAATCAAAATTAATAAGGAACCCTTACACAATTAATTTGTCATATTAAATTAATAAAAAAAATATTAAAGTGCAGGACCTACACAATCTTTCGATAATTAAAAGCTGACTCGATTTGTTCAACGTTGCATGTTATTCAACCTCAAAGGGCATAAATTTGCTTGTAAGAATAGGTTTAAAATACATCTCCAAAAATGGCTGCATGATGAGTATTGTTCTTAGCCAATCAATTTTGAAACCAATAAGGTTGCTGCACAATCATATTATCAATCTCTCACATTCGAAGGGATCGAAAATATTACCAAATATCAATGGATACACAACAAATTGGAAGGCAATTAGTATTTAATTTGTCTCATATGAAATTATTAAGAATTAATTTATGGAGACTCTTAATTATTTCATGGTTTAACTATTCTAATGACTACATGTGAATATTGAATGGTAAAGATCAGGCTATTAAATCATGAGACATTAGAAAGATGTCTTCTGGACCTAAATGCCCCAAGCATAGGATATCTAATTAGGATTATAAAAGTATGGATTACCCATCTAAGCTATCCATATGATTGTTCAGTGGCAATAATAGCGAAGTCATTCAATTTTTTAAACTATAACCCACTTATATTTTTCACTATCACATGGAAGCAGTATCCATATTCAAATAGAATTTAAAGTTACCAAAGATGGGATAATTCAGAGAGTCTGCTTACCTCATTTTAGGAATCAATATGAAGTTCATCCAACCAAAAATCATGTTGATGTGAAACTTATTGACCCAATAATATTAGTTGTTGGTAAAGAACACATGCCACTTGGAACAAATATTAAATATGGCTTAGTATGAACGGTTCAGATTTGAGGGTTACTTGATATGTTAATTATGCGTCAACTATATGGCCTGCTTTTCATCGGAATGTGAAAAGTTGTGATCTAGTAATGGGAAATTTCTATCCTTTTAATGATTTGTATGGATTGTCCTACCTATTCCCACAAAGCTATAGCAGTTTATCTCCTTTGTTGCAGATAATCACCGCAACGATCTATAACCTCATCTATTTTGAATACCTAATGAGTTGGTTGGAATAATAAGTAGCCTAGTACTGCCATGAGCATGATTGATAGCATGAAGAATGAGTCTTTTTTTGTTGAATAACCTTTATGTTGGCAGGGTTGAATATATCTTTCATATTCTAAGTTCAGGAAACATATACAACTGAACATTTGACATTTAATTGTCGTTGGATGTCCTACAATAAAAAACTTCTCTAGATTCCCTTATGAGAGTTCTTTTAGAAATCCTTTGCTATGTGGATATTGACTTAGATCTTCTTTCTATAGATGGACATTTGTCAAGACTTAGCATCTCTCAAGGTCTTTGTAGAACCTAACAAGGCCCTCCAAATCTTGTTTTTTTTCAGATGGATCTAGTCATCCATGCATGTAAAGAGATTATAAGAATTATAGAAAATCTTATTAAGCAATGCATAATTGATTATGATGCTTCAAACACAACATATTAATGTGTTTAACAATAAAGAGAAATCACAATTTGATGATTTGAAGAATTAATAATTCTCATAATTCATTGATATCTTATACTCAAAAAATTTATGAAATTGTCTAGGCCACACTCGCTTACGGGCAACAACAAATGATTTGTAATGAATGCAATTTTTTGTGCTATTATATGGGCAATATTAACAAACTTATGAGCAGCACACTACAATTCACCAGTAAATAGGAGCAGAGAATTCATAGTGCACACAATGATTATCCTACGGGCATGGACAAGAAGCTCGTACAAAACAAACCAGCCTTTCTAGGGATAGTAGCGGGGAACTTCTAATGCATGTTATAATTCATCTATGAGCAGGAGCAGGGGATTGGTAGTGCACACAATTAACCTTAAAGCAACAATAGGAGATTTGTATCAAATGGTGTAACTCATAAGCCAGAACATGATTTCCTAGTGCCTATTGAATAAACATTCCCTACAAGCCACCGGATCCGCAACCTACTTGTACAAGCGGACAGAAGGTTATATCCTTATAATAATATTGAAAATACACTTGAAAATAAACCCCTCATGTGCTCTGATCCCTACATTTGATTCTTAAATCCAACGGTCTGAAAATGTTGTGCATGTTAAACATTTTAAGCCTCATCTTCCTCCTTGAAAGGACTGGAATAGACATGACTTGTATTATAAGATGTCTTTGAAATTGCCACAAAATACATATATAAATGACAATCAAGTAATCCCTTATGATGGCCATGTTGATAGATAATCTCAATCGTATGGGTCAAATATAAAAAAACCAATAAAAATCTAAAATCCTTAAAATAAAATCTATCACATAAAAACTTAAAACTAAAATCTATCTAACTTCCGCAACAATTTGTTGGGGGTAGTAAATTTGAAATTAATCACAGTTCACAAAGAGCGAATGTCATGTCGGGTGTATCACTAAGATTTTCATCCTCAAATAGTCTCTTACCAGTAGGAACATGGCATGTGTCCTCTGATCAGATGGTTTTGTCACAAAATAGCACTATTATATTACGATCACGTCCAAAGCTCATTGATGAGGACATCCGAGATCAACGGCTACGATCTTGAGTTATTTATTTATATGTTTTCTGTAGTAGTTTATTTTATATTGTTGTTTTTCCCTTTATTCCCTTACGGGTGGTCATGTAGTGTTGTAGCCCGAAGGGCATTTTAGTCTTTTATTTCTTTTCTTTTCATGAGGCATATTTATAGGCAAGTTATTTTGTATTTTTGGATAATGAATGATTATTGATGAAAATTTCAACTTTTATCTTCTTTAATATGTGAGCTTTGAGAGGAGAAAGAGAGCCCTAGGTGAGGGCGAAGGCAATACCCGACAGTCTTTGGAAGAGTCCGAGACTCGCGGTCCGTTTATTTCTTCTTCTTTTCACCTCTATCCCCTTCCCCATCTCCCTACACCCGCCGGCTCCACCTCTCCAAATTCCCCACCCGCCAGCCTCCTCCACCCAAAGCCCTCTAGCCGCCGGCCACTTTAGCCTTCCTATCCGTCGATTCCTTCACCCGCCCCCTTCCCCACACCCCGCCGCCTACCACCCATCTTCCAAGCCGCCGGAAATCCCCCGGTAGAGTTTAGTTAATTCAATCCCCTTCCCACTTTCCCTCCTAAACTCCACATATTTCAAATTCAAATGTCTAAATCAATTGCCCCATAATTACTCCCTAAATCTGAAATTAATTTCAGATTTCCCCCTATGCTCCTCAAATAAATTCTTTCCAATCCTGAACCTAAACCAAAGGGAATTAACTCATGTTTCCCTCCACTGTTGTCCACGCAATTCCCCACCATACCCTTCAAGCTCACGTGCATCCAGAAGGAGGAAATCTTGAAATTTTTCCTCACCAACTGGCTGTCCAGATTTCTGGACAGCTTCTAATTGCTGTCCAAAACTTCAGAACAACAAAGTTGCTGTCCAAAATAGCTCTAGGTTGCTGTCCAGGATCTATCCAAGACCAGCCTCCTTGCTGTCCAGAGAATTCTGGACGTTTGGCATGTCAGCCTGCCCTCCCACAAACTTGGAAATTACTGTCCCAGTTTTGTTCTCCTGCAGTCCAGAAAATCCAACAGCCTTCTAGTGCTATTTTGCCATCCGGGATACTCCCATTTGTTGCCTGGAAAACTCCATCGGCTGTCCACCCACAGAACTTCATGAAGATCAACCGCCACAATTCGAAACTTCCTCTGCGTACCTCAAACAAGACTTACGAACTTGACCATGGTGAACTCTTCCCCAAGTTTCCTATTTTCCTAGTTTATTTTCAATTGTGGTTATATTTTGACTCACAAAGATCATGTTTACTCTCCTCCGCTAAAACTTAGTGTTTAGTAGGACTATGTGATGGGCATTTCATAGTACTAATCTTATTGTTAGCATAGGGATTTATTGTTGAAACCATTCACGTATGCAACGTTAAATTAACTTGATTGTTTTATGATCTTAACTTTTACGCGCGTGATTTGGCTTAAGCTTTGTCTTACCGCTCTTTGTGTTTTATTTTTTCGTTTAAATTCACCATTAAGATATAATTATTTGTTCTAGGAATATTAAGCGTGCAAATTCCTTTAAGTAATTCATTATTGCATGTTTGTTCTACATCACTCATATGTTCTCTGATGACATTAAACCCTTGAGTAATGAATCATAGGGTATATTCGAAAGGCATAAATCTCTCTGTCAACTAAGGTGGATTCAGATCTATACCCTTAGACAAACACCATCACATATCTACAAGGTATTCTTGGACGAAGCAACCCATGGCTGCCGATAAGATGCCTTTTGTTAGGTTGGGTCGACTACCTCCTCTAAGTATAACAGGGACCATGACAGCCCGGGACGACGAAACCATGGGATCTTGATCGGGCTCATCTTCGTTTACCCCATCACCTGTTTTAAGTATATGGTGATAAATTTCAAAATTCAAATTCAAACTCAAACCCTAAAACTGATGCTATTATAAGTTGGGTTTGCAACCTATGTGACCTATATTATGACTAGCCTTAATCGAAAGTTCTCTCTCATTATTGGGAGGGGTAATTAACTTAGGGGCTTGTGCCTATAAAAAACCAAAACTCATATCATAAAGTCCTCACAAAATGAGGGTGAAATCTCTGGGTAGTATCTTATCTAAAACCTAATCTTCCTTCTGAAAATTTACCACGGAGCCTAAGCTCGCTAAAATTTTCCCCGTGAACAAATAGAAAATGAGCCGGCGCGAAGAGGCCAGTGCGCGGAATTTTCGTAGTCCACACTAAATATAACTAAAACACCATAATCAAAACAAACTAGTTAGGATTTTTCTTTCTAGAGATTAAATTTGCTTCAAGTTATCAACGTGATTCTACATTTGTGCATCAACAACTTCCCTTTCACCTTTTCCATCCGACAGAAATACAATGATCATCATAATTTTATGGATGCTTTCTAATATCGTATGGCCATCCATTTAAAGGCTAGCCGCACGTTAAACCAACTTAATTCAAAAACTTGCTCATATAGCAGCACTTGCAAATTATCAAACATGAGAATATAATTATCAACCACCGAGAAAACAAATGGTTGATCATACAATCAATATAAAACTAGAATGTTCAGATAAGCCAAATACCCAGAAATCAGGACATGATCAATAACTACCCTCACAACCAATTATCAGAGCACAACCTTCCTCACATCACCAAATCAAAAAATGATAAATCCCCTCTGAATTCAATAACCAAAAGCGAGTGGACATAGGCCCTTAACATGGCGAATCCAAAATCGAAATTTCAAATCCAAACTCGCCAAAGCCAAAGCCTTACATAATCGAGGAAACCGCAAAAGAAAAGAACCGATTCAAATTGAAAAGTACCTGCAAGAAAACATCATCGAGCTCGCGAAAGGCCGTCTCAGCTGAATCCGGCGAAGAATCACTGACCCTTAGCACCTCCGGCGATCCCGTCCTCGTCACGCGCCACATCCCTTCTCTCCCGCCAAAACCAGAGCTCAATCCAATCGCAAACAGTAGGGGAAAAAATGCCCGCCGCCGCCAAAAAGAGAAACTTTTTTATTCCACTGCTACATAGATGGAAAGGGATTGGACCCAAAGCAAGGGGATTAGAATATGTATCGGAAATCCTCTTTTCTAAATTTTTCTCAGCTCTCCCGTACTCGAAAAGTAGTGAGGAAGAGTGAGATAGACGAACTGAAAATACAAGTTGACTACGTTGCTTACTATTGCTGCGCCTTCGCTTCTCTTCTCTGCTCTTCCCTTCTCCACCAACGGCTGCTTCAAGTCAAAATGACATCTTTTCAACAACTCCAGCATAGAAACGTCTAACATTTTCGAACTGTGGTTGGGCCCTCTGAGTTTGGGTTCGTTTTGGGGGAAACAAGGGGTGTTTTGTAATGGATGTGCGTTTAATGTGCCGGCAATGCTGGCTCTTGCGAGTGGAAATGTTATGCCAAATGTCGCAGACCTACTGAACGGTGATGACGCTAAGCAGGACCTGCTGCCATGCTGGTGTTGCGATTCAATTGGCTCTGGTTCATGCGGATCTTTTTATGTTCCTTGAAGAAGATAGAATATAAAATAGTTTGATTGTGTACAGTCTAAATTTTAAATTAAATATTTTAAAATTATCGTACAATTATGTATGTAATGCTACAATTTGCAGAGATAAAGAATAATCGACATGGCTTGAGGATTCTGTATGAAGTATTTGCAAGATATTATACTTGTTTAATCAGGAATCATGTCTCACTAACTTCTTTTTTTTTACTAATCTACTTTAAGCGCATTATATGAACTCTATTTTTTCAGTTCTTTGAGAAAGTTAATAGTATTTTTTTATTGGGCACATGATAAGTATGTATAAATAAATTGGTTGTGGCAAATGATGGGAATAGAAGAATTTTTTCCTCCATATATCTATATATTGGATTCTATCTCATCTCATGATTATTCGACATAATTTATGCTGATTATTGACTACTTAACGTAACCTTCGATTTTTCTAATTCAGAACTTGGGATCTGACAATTTTACTTTTAAAGATAGAATGTGAAACGAGTATATAAGTGAAATGGTAGGAGTAGCTCTAGTGGAAAATAAGATTAGTAAGAGTTGTCTTAGATGATTTAGTCACATTAAATATCAGCAGAATTGTTCATGTTAAGAAAGTTTGAGGTAGAGCTAAAAATACTTAGTTAAAAAGTATTAAAATTGACTTTTTTTTATTAGATTTAAATGAGAATCTGACACTTAGCATGACACAATAAAAAAAAAAAAAAATTCATGTAGCCAACTCAATATAGTAAAATAAAGACTTAATGTTATTATTGTTATCTCTGCTTGCTCTTATCCTTCTCATTTTCTTTCTTATTTTCCCGACAAAAGATTCACTGGCTTTGGTTAACCTTTCTTGATCGATTCAACTGAAAAAGCCTAAATTCTCCAGCGACAATCTGGAAATCTGGATTCAAAAGATTGAGCAATTTTATGGGTTTCAAAAGCTTTCTAACTATTACAGATTATCTCTCAATTCCTTCCATATGTCTTGTCCTGCTAAAAAATGGTTTCTTTGGGTTGAGGAAAGTAATTGCATTTCCACTGAACTGAATTCTTGAATTGCTCTGATCTTCTTTTAAGTCAGAGATTTTAGGGAAGAATTAACCAAATTATTCCAGCATTCTTTTGTTTGAAGTGTTATTTGGTTGGGCGCATTTAGAGTGTAATGAGCTTCAAATACATACATTTCAAGAATCAAGTGTTTCTTCAGGTGAATTTCAAATACAATGTATACATTCATGGATGAATTTAGAATTCACCATCAAATTCAATTCTAATGTATTTAGAAATCAATAATTTTAACAGGTTCTCAAATATATTTTAAATTCTTTGCATTGCCGTTGCAAGTTGCTGCTAGCCACCACCTCTGTCGTAACCAATTGGTCGCCATCACCCTCCTCCCACTCCGTGGACAATTGGACGCCGCCCATCGACCATTGGTTACCACTATCGTTAGGCTTTTACACTGCATTCATTTTAGTTCAACAAAGAAATACCTACATTTATTTTACACTCGTCCAAATAATTTTTAGTGACTAAATTAAAATATATTAAAAAAGAAGAGAGCGTGGTTTCAGATCAAATAGACACAATGCTTACCGAAGCAATGCATCTCTTCCGTGTAGTTCATCCACATGATTAATAAACGCCATTAAAAAGAGAAAGAAAGGAGACATAATTCGCTCAAATTTCAATCCCGTCAATTTTCTTTCTCTAGTTGTCAGCCTCTCGCATAGCCCGCTTACCTCCATTTTCTGTTCACCTCACTACATGCAGTCACGACACCCAGGCCCGATTCAACTCACGATTTAGATTGTAATTGCCGGTTGATTCCTCTAGCGAACAGCCCTCGTATCCGCCGATTGGCCCGAAGCCACACCAGAACCTGAACTCATCTTGCACACTCAACCTCTTCAAACGAGTTAAACCCACATCGTTCCTCCCTGCTCTTTGAAACCACTAGCGTGCCGATTTATGTATTTACTAACATAATTCACTACTCTTGTTATTATTTTTTTAGCTAGTACATCCATATACTGGCCATTTTATATTGCTTTAACAAGTCAAATTAACTGTGAAATACATATATAAAATTATCACTTTCATTGTGTTAAAACTATCACTAACATGACGCACCAAGTTCACCTTCGAAATAGAATTCTAGCATATTTGTGAAGAATGCTTAATCTAACCGATATTAATTGACCTACTGATCTAATTGCCGCTAAACATAACGCGCTAATATTTTCCAAACAATCCCTTAAACTAATGTATGAAGAATGCTTAATGTATTTCTCACTAAAATAATCCACTAACAATTAACAAATAATAATAATAGTAAAATCTTTCAAGAATAATGGATTAGGGTGAAATTTATCAAACAAAAAAAAGCGTGACTTTCATTCGAGAAGAGAGAAATATATTGAGAAGTCATAAGTGAGCAACAACAAAATCAATGAGATTAGAGCTTCGTTTGGGACATGTTTCTTACTATTTTTTAAAGCAGCTTTTTAATACAAAATTATCTGAAACTATAATTTTTGTGCTTGAAAGTTACTTTTAAAAGAAGTAGAAAATTAGTCACAAATGAAGTCTAAGCATAAATGAGAAATAAAAAGCACTTGAAGTGAAAGAAATAATACAAAAAAATAATGCAACACACTACACAAAAATCTTTAGAGAAAGGAATTAGATAGGAGTGGCAAACAAACTATACTCATAATTTTATAATAAATAGAATTTCATGGCAAACATTAAATTTCAATAAATCTATTTTAATATTTTATAGTAGTGTTTGGCTAAAATTTAAGATTAATAATGCATATCTATTAATATTTTAAAATTAACTTACACTTACTAGGTGATATCAAAATTGATTTTTTATATGAGATCAAATATTCCATAAAATTCATAGCTATAAGAAGTGTCTTGCCAACTTCTACCATTTTTTCATAACAACCAAGATACAACAAGGAAAGAAAAACATCAAAATATGCTTAAAATTTTTATCATAACCAAGTAAGATAAAAAACAAAATATCACATAGATACCGTAATTAAATGTGTATCCATTAAAAATATAGTTATTGAATGTATAAAAAAGCGAATTTTATAATGAATGCAACATTTGCATCCATCCATGAAATGTACATAAGACCCGTCTAATGGATACTGTAAAGCGCTCCCTGTTTTATTTTTTGAGTGTACTGCTCTAACATTTTTTATAAGTATAATAAAATTAAATATTAAAAAACATAATATATTTGAAATATTTAGATTTATTTGGATAAATACAAAATAAATATATATGATTATTTTTGGGATCAAACTTGAAATTAATAAATGCAATAAAATTTTAAATAATAATTAATTAAATACCCTTACAACTATGCGTCAAAATCTCTTTTCATCATTCCATCCACAAAAGTCATTCCTCTTTTTTTTTGGGGACATTTAGGCCATTTAAGGCAAACTCACACACACAACGCATACACATAGACTCGAACCTTGGACCTCTTAGTTGGAAGCCTAATGATGCGGAACATCCTAGCTTATATGGAACCGGGAGGAGTAACTTAACACCTTATTTCTTTTTAGCTGTTAGAATGTGGAATCTCCACTACCGTAGTACTATAGTTAGTTACTTAGTACATTTTCCAACTTTTTTCCTTTATGCCGTTTACAGCAAAGGAGATGCGGAAGGTTTATATCCCGCAAGGAGCTCCTGGATGAAGTAGTTTTGATATTATCCTTCAATACAGAACTTAGTTCTCTGTTTATTTGCTTGCTTGTTTCTCTGTTTCCATCTTCTTGCAGGTATCTACATCATAAATTGGTATCAGAGCAAGGATGGCTGAGGGCAGTAAACGGTTGGCCACCGGTGAAGATCGCAGCCTTGAAGCCTTGTGGATTGAACATGCCAACTTGGCGAGAACGACAGAAGCTCTATCTGCCGACGTCAATCGTTTCTTTGGCGAAATGCGCCGGGAACTTCGGTTGATTCAAGCACGTCTGGACAAGAACCAAACCGCTCGGATACTACCGCCGACAACCACACCGGCAACGAGGCGTAGGTTCGTCGCAGACATGGAACGACTGCCGAATAATTTAGCTCCAGAAGTTTCAGAATCTGAAGAAGAAGAACTGGAAATTTCTAATAACATAGAGGTTTCCGATTCGGAAGAAGATCCAGGAACGGTGCGAAGACGACGTCCGTGGCCTAGAGGCAGAAATCATAGTGAGTTTCGTGTCAAACTTGATATACCATTTTTTGATGGTAAATTGCACATTGAAGATTATTTAGATTGGGAAAGGGCAGTCGAAACTTTCTTCGAGTACATGGAGATTGATCCAGAAAAACAAGTGAAATATGTGGCGTGTAAGCTCAAAGGGGTGCCAGTGCGTGGTGGCAACAAGTGATCCAATCAACTAGACGTGAAGGGAAGGGTATTGTCCGCAATTGGCTTCGAATGAAACAACTATTGCGTGGACATTTCTTACCCATTGATTACGAGCAGATGTTATATGTGCAATATCAACACTGTTCCCAAGGATCAAGAACTGTGAATGATTATACGGAGGAATTTTATAGACTCAGTGCTAGAAATAATTTAAATGAGACGGCAAATCAAATTGTGGCGAGATACATTGGTGGGTTGAAAGATGCAATCCAAGATAAATTAGAATTAAATACAATTTGGTCGTTATCCCAAGCCGTAAACTACGCACTTAAAGCTGAAATGCAAATGTCAAGACATAGTAGCAATCGGTCATACAGAAGAAATTCGAAGCAATTTAGAGAAGGCAGTAAACAACAATCCTATGGTTCGGTCTCTGGTGCTAAGCCAATGCCACCGGCTGCAGCAATTCATCCTCCTAACACAGGGCAAAGAGCAACTGATAATAGGAATTATCAGAGAAATAAGGCTCCTGTAAAGGACAATCCTTATACTAAGCTGGCCAATATCAAGTGCTTTAGATGTTTTCAACAAGGTCACAAATCCAAAGAGTGTCCGACTCGTCCTC